TCACAATCACGAGGTTCCCCGAACCTCAGAGACCCTCTCAATAACCCCACGCCCTCTCCCCAGTAGCTTCGTCTCCCACCCACCCCTCCACATCCCGGAAAGCCCCGCCTCAAAATCCCCGTCCTCATACGATATCGAATCCACCCCCGGCCACCGCCCCTCCCCTCCCCCCCCCCGCCCCGGCCTTCCCGCCCCAAGCCACATCTCCTCCCGCCATGTCCCGCCTCCTCTCCCTTCATTTCGCGCCTCCGCCCTCACGCCTCCCGCTGCGGTTGGCCACGTCTCCGCGCCGTCTCCGCGTCTCCCGACCACTCTGCGACACCTCCGCCGCGCATCTCTCGCACACCCTGCGCGCGACCCTGCAGTCGGCCACCGGCTCGCAGCTCGGCATGGGCTCGCTGCTGGGCTTCGCCATCGGCTACTCGGCTAAGCGCGTCGGCCAGCTCCTGCTCGTCATCGCCGGCATGCAAATCGTCGCCGTCCAGCTCATGGCACGCCGCCAATGGCTCGTCGTCGACTGGGATCGCGTCGCCGAAGATCTCGCCCCCAGGATCAAGTCGGATCGCGTCGATTGGATGCTCGACGTAGTTAAGTTTCGCGTCCCCTTCGCCGGTGCGCTTGTCGCAGGGTGCTACGCAGGGTTTAGGTGGACTTGAGTTCCCTGAGTCCCCCTGCCCGAGGAGCATTGGCCGTAAATGCCGTCGTGATTCGCCTGGCATGTGTTCTGCGCTTTTGAAGTGACAATTTTTCACCGCGTCATGGAGTTATGCGATCCATGTGAGGCACATGCCCCAAATTTGTCGACCATCTCGAGTTTCGGGTGAGCAGTGGCATGCATCAGTTGCAAATCGACAACAAGGATCTCCTGCTCGATTCTGGACAAGCCCTACTTATTCCAACCCCATCGCTTCGCATGCGTCTCATCCTCGTCCTGAAACCAAGGAAACAGCTGTGCCACGCAGAAACCAAGTCGAAGTTTCGTCGATGATGATTGCAGTTAAAGCCAGGTTGTCATAATACATCGTCTGAGCTTAGAACAGAACAAGCCCGTTTCAACAAGCCCGTTTCAGCAAGCCCGTTTCTTGTCCTGGGGCCGTCGTTATACTACGTTATGGAGCGTACCCCAAGTGCGATGCCTGAATATCATTACGTGCAGAAAGCAATTCAGCGAAAAGCTTCTAAGATCTGGCACCGTTGTAAACCCACAAATCCCCATGCCCGCGTCCGGCCCGTTTTCTCTTAGACAATATTTATATTTAAGCTCATTATTTTCAGTGCGTCCATGATATCATTTTCTCCACTACAGTACCCAAATTTTCGGCGAGCCTGCGATTCATCGCATTCGCGAAAAGTACTTGCATATGCACTTGACATTGAGTGGAATAGCATACGTCACCACCATGGAACTGATCTTGAGTATCTCCAACGTCCATTTTCTCATTTTGTGTCGTCTGAAAACTCCAGTTTCAGTTGGCATTGGCACCAATATCTGCGACACATCGCAACACTTTCCGTATCTGTTCGAGTCCAGTATTGCCTTCTTAGCGCATATACAAGCATTTGGAATGCGGTTTCAATCTGCGTTTGAAATGACATTATGTTGTGCAATACATTTGAGGCTCTGTCTGTTGATCTTGGGCAGCTACATGGCCGACCCTCCTCCATTCGACGAGGATACTATGTAAAGTCTCCGGCGTTTTCTAATATTTTCTAATTTTGCACGGTAGAGCTGCGTCTTTTGCTCCAACAAGTGGGTTTATATTTTGATGTGTAGGACGACATACTAGGTTGAAAAGTGGTTTCACAAGCGTGATGTGAGAACTGTTCTAAGGGCACTAACATTCTAATTCTTGGGATATGTGAAAAGGTACTGCCGTAGCATTACCTTGAGGTACAGTTTTGGGGCCACACCATTAATGATGGCTCTCAGTGCCATATTCTTGTGTTTTTCGCATCCTACACCTTACTGAGAACTCTTGTGTAGCCTCTCGGCAGATTCAGTTTTCGCTGTTGAGAGACACGGTGCTGAGCCAACTGCGGACCGTACCAGTCGTAATTTTTCCAGGATTACTACTCGTGAGTAACTTGTTCTCAGCTAAAAATGCTCTCAGAACTCAGCGTATCGCCTCATGATACATCTCGCATTACC